TTTGTATGACTTTATCAAGGTCATTCTTAAGTGAAACTGGCTCTCTTTTTTGACTGCTACTAATCCATGGTAGCAGGGATGAAATGCATATTAGATTAGTGTACAGTAGTTTGGTGCCATTGCCTTTGTTTATGCTAAGGTACTGGTGATTTCACCTGTATTTAAAAAATATATTTTGTTGAGATATAATTCACACATCATAGAATATACCCATTAAATGGACTGTAGCATGTATCAGTACTTGATTTCCTTTTTATGGCTAATACTTCATTGTCTAGATATACCACTTTATGCTTATCTAAATAAGTATCATGTGGATCTTCGGGGATTTCCCCCAATTTTTAACAATTAGTAATAATTCTGCTATGAATATTTGTGTACAAGTTTTTATGTGAACATATTTTTTATTTCCCTTGTGTACATTCCTGGAAATGGAATTGGTGGGTCATATGGGAACTCCTATGTTTCTCCTTTTGAGGAACTATCTGAAAAGGAGAAACCATTTTGCATTTCTGCCAGTAGTGTGGGAGGGTTACAGTGTCTCTACATCCTTGCAATCTGTCGTCATTATCCATCTTTACAGTATGATAATCATCCTAGTCGATATAAAGTGGTGTATCTCATTGTAGTTTTGATTTGCATTTCCGTTATAGTTAGCCTACCATTTTTCGTGCCTTCAGTGAAGATGTCTCCCCACTGTAAAGGCAAATAATGTCTTTGTATTATTATGAAATAGTTTCAACCCTAGCAGATCTCCTGCAAGGGTTTCTAGGTCCACTTAAAGGGTCTGTAAATCTCCGTTGAAATCCACTGATCTGGCCACGTGTCACCGGTAGAAAACCGGGAGGTGTGTTCAGTGTTCTCCTTTGAGATCCACTGATCTGGCCACACGTCACCGGTGGAAAACCGGGAGGTGTGTTCAGTGTTATTCTCCTTTGAGATCCACTGATCTGGCCATGCGTCACCGGTGGAAAACCGGGAGGTGTGTTCAGTGTTGTTCTCCTTTGAGATCCACTGATCTGGCCACGTGTCACCGGTGGAAAACCGGGAGGTGTGTTCAGTGTTGTTCTCCTTTGAGATCCACTGATCTGGCCACGCATCACCGGTGGAAAACCGGGAGGTGTGTTCAGTGTTGTATTTCTTTTTGCTCAGGCAGGTGATTTGCTGCTCCTCTTTTTCCCATGAAAGTGACACTGGCACGCGTTAGGAGGCACCTGGCTGCGCTGGACTTTGTCCCCAGACTCTGATTCATGGTCTGTCATGAGTCGGAGATGTAACAGGCATGGTCAGTGTGGACTAGTTAATGACCCAGAAGAGTAGGAGGTTGTATTGGGTCTTACTGAGACCAGCGTTTGTCTGCATTGAAGGCCTTCTTTATACTCTGCAGGGAGGGATATGAAGCTATTGAGATTTGCCCACAATCTGATTGTGCAGTAACCTGAGATGACGCTTTTAAACATGCAGTAATAATGTCTCCCAAATACTGTGTACCTACTGAACCCCAGACATTGTGGTACATGTTCTACCTACAGGAACATCTGCTATCCCCAGTCTGTAGATGGGAAAACTGAGGATTAGATAACTTGCCCAGCTGCAAACAACAGAGCTGGGAATGAACTGCAGATACTGTTTTGAAGGGTGGCAAACCCATAAAATAATATTTTGTTAACTGAATAAAGAGAAGTAATTATAGAACTGGTGCTTCTTCGTAGCAGGCCTCACCATGAGACATGTCTTAATGGCAGGAGAAAGCACAGAGAAGTATGGAGGAGTATTGGAGATTAAAAAAAAAAAAAACAGCTACTTCCTATGCTATATTTTAATAAGCTGTGTTCACTGCTTTAGAAAATTGGTGAACAGTCAAGAATTGCCTAGATTCATGTTCCCTTGGCTTGATTTTTAATCACATTGAAGTATGACTTCTTACGGATGTTGCTTTTAATTTGTCTTGAAAGCTAGCACAGATACTGCCAGCTTGGGCATGATTGATGGTTTCTGACAATGGGTAGTTACTTAGACTTAGAATAAATGCCAACCATTTGAAACTCTCCATTTTCTCTGTAACTGAGAGTATCCAGTAGAATCTTGTACAACATCGGATTGTATCCCGTATTTTGATGTGGCCTGGTCTTTCCTTCAGTATTTTAAAATCTATTCATCACTGGTGCTGGAAGAAACTTTGAGATAAAGGTTCGCAACCGATAATCCAGATAGGGAAAATGTGAAACCTCCGTCTTATACCATGACAATTGGACTAAAGAATTAAATCCTAGCAGTTTAATTAGAAAACAATTAGAAGGAAACTTAGAAGATTATTTTACCATTTGAAAGCACGGGTGGTGGAATGAAGAAACGTTGATGAAAGGGTGCGTGCAAAGTTGGTTCGAGGGGAGGAAGAAAATCTGTAGATCTGGACAGCCTTGTGACTGGTCACTAATAATGTAGTGTATACTCCACAGTTGCTTATCTTAAATATTCTTAGCACAAAAGTGTATAAGGAGATTGGATATGGTAATTAGCTTGATATAATCACTTTATACCTCTATTCAAAGGTCATATACTGTAAACATACCATTTTAATTGTTATACTTTAATAAAACTGGGAGAAAATGTACAGATGGATACGTTAAGCATTAAAGTAAGAAACTGAAATTTGTTAGCAGATTTGGCACCACAGCAAATGGAAAAGTAAATGGCAACAGAACGATATTTGCAGTTTATAGGGCATTAATGTAATTTAAAGGACTCCTAAAATTCAATGTGAGATTGAATGGTGGGGAAAAGGGAGTCTTCAAAAAGGACAGATAGGTAAGATGTTTTTCAGCTGTGTAGAGGAGGAAAGATTTGATTTCTCCTTCTGCAAGCCAATAGGAAGAGATTTACAGTTCAGAGGAGGAACAGTTTTCCCTTTCATCTGCTGCTGTGGGGGTGGGGGATTCTGCCTCAAGTTCTGCAAGTCCCGGTTGGGGTGGGGATGGCCTGGAGTTGCTCCAGTGAGTGCCGGATGGATGAGTGGACACAGTAACCTTTTGAAAACTCCCTCCGGCAGGATGATGGCTAAAAGATGACTATAGCTTCCCCTTGCTGATCTGCCTAAAGCAACCCAGGAGCAGGGTTTGCTTCCTCCTTCCCTGAAGAAACAGGCCCTGTCTGGACTGTTTGTGGGGAGTCTAGGCCTGTGGGTTCCAGAGAAATGGATGTGAAAGGCTCGTTTATTCCATGGGGAGGGGCGGTAAAGCAGAAGGATAAACCCATAACATTGGTATTTCTGATTTTCTGTAGAAACCCCGAGCATCCCTGTTCTCTTTTTGAAGTCTCTGCCTCGTGTGTAGGAAGCACCATGCACACTGGAAATTCTCACTTGTAGCCACCTGGGGTTTGGGGAGGGATGGGGTGGGCTTGGGAGGCAGGCTGACTTCATGTGCCAGGGATAGGTGGCATGGCCTGTGCCAGGCACTTACCCCCTCCATCTGTAGGTGTCCTGTCCAGTAGGGTTGTTCTGAGGATTCAGAGGCTCAGTGTAATTCAGGGCTTTAGCATAGTTCACCTGGCTTATAGGAAGCACTTAAGAAATATTAGCTATTAGCTTTTATTGCTGTTGTTGAATTTAGGAATAGAAAATGGATCTGGCTCAAAGCTCCATCACCCCTTTCTTCATCTCTGTTGTCACTGATATGTCAGATAAAGCAGCTCCGCCCCCAACCCATGCATGTCAGTAGCTCTCTGGCCTCAAAAAATGCATCTCTTTTAAACCTGAGAATAGACTTTCTTTTTCTTCTTTTTTCTTCTCTTCTCTTTTCTTTTCTTTTCTTTTCTTTTTTTTCTCTTCTCTTCTCTTTCTTTTCTTTTCCTTCCTTCCTCCCTTCCCTTCCTCCCTCCCTCCCTCCCTCCCTTCCCTCTCTCCCTCTCCTCCCTTCCCTCTCTGCCTTCCTTTTGTCACTGTCTTTCACCGAGGCTGGAGTGCAGTGCCGTGATCTAAGCTCACTGCAAGCTCCGTCTCCCGGGTTCACACCATTCTCCTGCCTCAGGTGCCCGCCGCCATGCCCGGCTATATATATATATTTGTGTGTGTATATATATATATTTTTGTATTTTTGTAGAGATGGGGTTTCACCATGTTAGCCAGGATGGTCTCAGTCTCCTGACCTCATGATCCACCCGCTCTGGCCTCCCAAAGTGCTGGGGTTACAGGCGTGAGCCACGGTACCCGGCTGAGAATATACTTCCTTATTCTGGATCCCCTGTCTTTATATTCCAGGTGGTCATGTTCTTGGAATGAGACTGTGTTAAAAGTTTAAGTTCTTTTTCGTCAGGTATGATGTTGATACTTTGAGGGGTGCTGGAGTTTTCTGGTAGGGAGTTTTTAAAGAATGGATTTTTCCATTGTTTTAGCTAAAGCACAAAATTCTTAATGGTTAGGGTTTTAAATTTAATTTTGTCTCTTGATGTTTAGGCTTCTTCCCATCATCTGCATTCAGGTGCTGGCTGTTTTTTTTTTTTTTTTTTTTTTTTTTTGAGAACATCTGACATTTGATGGTTGATTCTTTTTGACTTCAGGGAGTAGAGGTGTATTAGTCCGTTCTTTATAGCAGTACCTTTATAGGTATTGCTATAAAGATAGTACCTGAGACTGGGTAGTTTATAAAGGAAAGAGGTTAAAGGAACTCACAGGCTGGGGAGGTCTCAGGAAACTTACAGTCATTGGGGATGGTGAAGGGGAAACAAAGCACATCTTACGTGGCAGCAGGAATGAATAGAGCGTGAGGTGGGAAACACTTTTAAACCATCAAATCTCATGAGAATGCACTTGCTATCGCGAGAACATCATGGGGAAAACTGCCTCCATGATCCAGTCACCTCCTTCCAGCTCCCTCCCTCACACATGGGGATTACAGCTGGACATGAGATTTGGGTGGGGACACAGAGCCAAACCATATCAGTAGTTTGCGTGGTAGTGGTCAAGGTAGTTACTTTTTTCTTGTTTTCTCCTTCCTTTCTAGTTTTCAATGGTTCCAGCAGGTCAACACGGGAGAAGGAACCTGTTCAAAAACACAAAAGCAAAGAGGCCACTCCCGCAAAGGAGAAGCACAGCGATCACCGGGCTGACAGCCGCCGGGAGCAGGCTTCAGCGAACCACCCCGCAGCGGCCCCCTCCACGGGTTCCTCGGCCAAGGGGCCCGCTGCCAACCATCACCACCCCCCTCTGCATCGGTCGGCTCAGGACTTACGGAAACAGGTAAAGTCCGGCAGGGGTGCCTACATGTGTGCCAGACCCCAGTTTCCCACTTCACTTCACCAAGCTCAAAATTCATCTTCAGAGGGCTCAAGAAGCAGGAAGTGATGCTCAGAAGCAAGACAGGGAGAGACAGAGCACACCTTTGCACGGGCTGCAGGCGCCTGCACCTTTTGTTCTGTGAAGATCCATCAGTTGGATTTGCATTCATCCTGGGTGCCAATGCATTCACCAACTGCATTCACCCAGAAAGGGAACTCGCTTCCTTACTTAAGCCTTCTCCCACCCACCCACCCTGGGCTCCACATGAGCGGTAGAGTGGCAGGGAACATGTTTTTCTCAGGTTAGGTTTTGAAATAGGCCTGCAAATGGCATAGTTCTGTTAGTGGATGATCCTGGTCTACTTTTCCATTTTTTTTGATGTGACAAGTTACCATTTCACCACCTGGCCTTTGAAGCAGAATATGTGCATGTTGTGTGCACTGCCGAGCAGTCTGTGGAATTGGGTGTGGCTGGGTGGCACCTCTTCCACTGAAGGCATTTGAGTCCCAGGCCGTAGCATCCACAGAGTGCAAGTAGATGCCACCCTGACCACCTCCTTGCCCCTGTCTGTCCCGCCCTGTCCCCCTCGGCCCCCTGGCCCCCAAGAGGGCCACAGATAATGCCAGTCCTGGTCAGGCAGTTTTGAAGAATCCCTCAGGGCTTGGCCATTATTGCTGTCCAGATGTTCCCATTCCTGGATATTGATTTCTCACAACCCTAGGGATGAGTAGTGGGGATAAAGGCAGGTTCCTGCATGCACACAGCTGAGGGCTTGTCCCCCGGACAGGTGGCATTTCACTGATTCCTCGTGCTCCTGTTCCCCACTCCATTTTAACATCCGCTGAGTCATGGGATCATTGATGAGCTTTCCTCACAGAGTTAAACATACAGTGTTAAAATCTTCCCCAGAAAAACTGGAGGCTCTGATCCTTAAAGTAGCTTCAGAGGAAGTTATGGAGGGGATAGAAGGGATTTCCTGGCTGGCCGTGTTGCAGAGTGACTAGCATGGTCATTGTGTACGTGGTTATTGTGGTGTGAACATACTGGACTTCATCTTGTGGTAGAGGTGGTCTTTCTCATTCTTGGTGGTGATGTGGATATTTCTCTCTGAATGTGAACATGTGACTGTAGTCACACACAGGCAGACAGGTATGCGTGCATGCACACGTGAACCTTTACCTAGCAAATAGTATGCAGTTGGTGGGGAGGTGGGCATGGCAAGAATCATCACCACATTGATGTTTTCACAGTCCACACACACCTAGCACGTATTAAACACTGGCCACTGTTGCCAAAACAGACCTCAGTTTTCCCAGAGGCAACAGCCACGGTGTGGAATTGGGCCATATCATGCGCTCACCTGGCGTCTGTCAACCGTTGGACCCCCGATTGTCAGCACTGGAGGCACAAAGCCCAGGGACGCACCGAGCTTTGGTCCTGGGTCTGTGATTCTTCACTCCTATCCTGTTCCTAATGCTTTTGGTCTGAGGGAGACGTGTACAGAACTCTACAACCTAAGGTTTTTGCTCATGTAAGAGAACAGAATTAGAAGCAACCCAGAGAGAAAGAAAGACAGTGATTACACCATGTGACTGCATCCTGTTTTCCCAGGATCCTAGAGTAGGGTTAAGTTGATTGTTTGTTTTTGTTTATCTTCTATTCATCCCACTTTGCTTTTTTGAGTTTTTTGAGTTTACTTGTGGTAAAATTCTAATGGGCCACATCAGAACTTAAGGCCATATCCAGGTGAGCTTCCAGATCTTGCCTTTCTGCCCTGAGAACCCATCCTCGGGATGGCGAGGCAGGAATGAAGGGTGGCAGAGGACCTGAGTCATGTACATGTGACTGTTCACATTCTCATGCACGGACAGACATGGGTGCACACACCCTCTTGCGCGGTCACGAACGGGGGTGGGTGGGATACGCCTGTCGTCTCAGCTGGTCAGAGCTCACTCTCAGCACTTGCCCTTCATTCAGTTCAAGGTTTCCCTTTGTTAAGGGGATGAGAGGAATTAGCACAGTTGGACAGCGTAAAGAGCTGAGGAGGAACAGCAAGTACCGCCTTAGCCTGGGATGGCCCTGCCTACCTCCGTGCTCCATGGCATGTTTGTGTGACCTGTTCCCTGTGCAGGATCTGAGGTGCAGGAAAGAGGTCCTGGGGTGCCTCTCACACAGCAGGCCTCTGAGTTAGTGCGGGAAGCTCAGCTGCTTCCAGGGCTCAGGGTAGAGTCCTTGCAGGTAGCGCCATATGCTCATGCAGGGCAGGGGATCCTCTCCTGTCACCCTTTCCCCACTTTCTCCCTCTTCCCTCTCCTCCTGCCTCCCTGTTCCAGTCTAACCAGCCCAGATGGGATGACCCATGGCTCCAGATTCTAATTTGGCTGTGACCCTGACCTTCAATGAGTCTTGAGATGTGATATTTAACCTTCCTGGGCCCTGTTATTCTTTTGGAGCCAGTCTTACCAACTCCTTGCACAGGGACATTGTGAGAAATAAAAGGAAAATTTTCAAACCCCCAGATCCTATTAGTTAAATACTCTGAAAATAAGGTCAATAAAAGCAAATTGTAGATTCCCTTGTGACTGCTTGATGCAAATGATTAGACTGTGACCTTTCATCTTTTCAACTGCATGAAAGATGTGGGCCCAGAGGATACTCTGATCTTTCATTTCAAATATGATATTTAGGGTTTTTTTTTTGGTTATTGTTCAGCTTAAAAGCATAAATGAGATTGTATGAAATGTGGAGGGATATAATTTTTAGGGGGTGCTGCTGAGAAGTCCCTTTGCCCTGCTTGCTCTAATGAACTGTGTGGGGGCACACACCTGTCTGCCGAGTCTAAAACCACTTCCCCTCCTGTGTACTGGGTAATACTGTCTGATAGTGTGTGCCATTTATGGAGTCCCTAGAACCCGAGAGTTAGAACACACCAGTGCATACACCTTTTTCTTGGTGAGAGGGCTCTGACCGACTGTTTACTCTCAATAATACCAAATGAGCTTCTTTGTCATGGAATGCATGTGCCTGTAAAACATTGCAGTTGTCACGGGGCTGGGATTGCCCCTGGATAATAATTTGGTTGTCTGGTAAAGGGTCTCACCAAGGAGCAAATGGTGTTTTTCTGTTGCTTTCCTGCAGTAGTACATCTGCTTACATGCGGTGACAGAAAGTAACAAGTTTAGGGGATGGTGCAACAAACGAGCTTTATTCCTAGCAAGGGTTTTGAAGTATTAGTTTTCCAAGAGAGTCATGAGCAGGTTTTGTACTTGTGTAGAAATCTGTGTGGTTTGTAAGCCAGGATATTGCACCAGATGTGGCCACATGTGATTCTCATTTCTTATGCTGAGGCTGAGTGTGAGAAGAAAATGATCAACTGGCTCATCCCGCGGGTTTTGCAGGACCTTACACTGAGCTAGGCCACCGTCACTGAAGAGGTTTTCGTATGAAAATGGACAGGCGTTGCAGAAAAGTCCTGCCTTGGTAAGATTCAGAGAGGGCCAAGGAATTGAGAATATTCTTTTAAAGTTCTGGAAAATACGACTGTGGAGAAGGAAACCTAGAAAATCGTATTAGTTTTAAAAAATGTTTAAGGTTTTCTTCTCATGACATCATTTTGTCATTTGAACTGCACTTGCTGGTGGTGTGGTATTTGTGACTCAGTTACATTGCCTTCAATGGGAGGAGAGGTTATAGGTACATCTAGATTTCCTGGTAGAACCCAGGCATCTCTTTAGAGCATGTTCCCCTTGGCCTCGGATAGAAGGCTCCTGCCCACGTGCTGCCGCGGTCAGTGTTTGAGCAGGCCGCTCCTCCCCTTCCATAACTCACTGTCTGTCCAGTGCATTTCGCTTCTGTTCAGGCTCTTTGTTTTTGATTCAAGTTGGAAAGTGCAAATGGACTATACCCAGCCACCAACTGTTTCTCTCTCTGGGCTCTGGCTCTGTTTTGAAAGGCTGGCAGAGGCCTCGGCTCAACGGCTCCCTCTCGTGGGAAAGAAGAGCGTGCCAGTGCATCTGAGGTTGAACTGAGGACAGCATCGTAATCTTGAGCGACTACAACATTTTTGCTTAGTTAACCAAAAACATCAGAGTCATTTCTCATCTTCTGCTCTGCCTTGGAACTGCATGTTTCTCCTTTTCATCTGTCATCATATTGAGTTGATTTAAATATTGTGTGTGTCGATGGTGAGGTGGAGAAAAACCAGTAAGGGTGGAGGGGAGGGATTTTATATTCTTGAAGCAAGCACACAGAGTGTGGACCGGGTACAGTTTTTAAGATGGAATTTCCATTATTAAAAACAAAGGTAGGAACGTTTGATGTCTCAGGCTTTCATATCTCTCCCCTTATATCCCTTCTGCAAGAAGAATGAGATATTGTTGCAAGTACTCATCTGGCTGAATGTAACTTGAAAATGCTCTCAACCTTGCCTGTTAAATTGAAACCATTCTTTTATGACTAGGAGGGGTTGCTCTAATACCTCATGGCCGTGTGCCTGGGATCAAAGACACGAGCGACGGATGGCTGTGGGTCAAGGAGCACACGCTGCAGACACCTCACTTTCTGCAGAGCTGGGTTGGGGGTAGGGGGCAATGGGCCGAGAAGCCAGAAATCCACAACAGAGCTGAGAGAAGGAGCAGCTTCAAGCGCCGCTCAGCTGAAATGTATTGTCATTCAGTGGAGGGCCCTGCTGTAGCCCACCACGGCGCTAATTCCTCAGCGAGCTCAGATGACTTCTTGTGTGTGCTCTTACGTGGAATCCCTCAGGACGTGCAGCAGTGACCTTCCTTGTAGTGCACTGGCTGCATAACTGGGGTTTTAATTGATACAGATAGAGGTGGGTGGGGGGAGACCTTCAGTAGCAAGGTAAGACAATGCCTTCCTCCATTCTTTTGTTTTCTTTTGTACTGATTAAGCGTTGGCTCCTTAGAGACAAGTCCAGGCCAAGAAAAGGGGTATCTTTTTGTTAGATTGGTGGGTCCCGGGTTTCCCCACAATGGTGGTGCTGGCTGAGTTGTTGGTTCTGTTTTATTTCTCCCTTTTAGGACACATGGAGCAGCTTGAGGGGGCAGACTGCTTCGCGTGTTAGCTTGTCAGCTCCTCTGTGGCCTCTCATGGTGGGCCTAGAACACGGACCCTCCGGGTGTCGAGGGGGAAGACAACCAGTAACACTTGCCCTTTTCAGTCTTTGTAATTTATTTGTTTGAACTTCGCTGTTCTGTGTTGTGGGTGAGATCCATCTAGTCTTTGAGCTTGTTACATGGGCGTGCGTGTGTGATATCTGGGTGGATACTGTTGAAGATAACTGTTGTAATAGTAAGAAGGAAAATAGTGCAACTCATTTTCTTATAAAGCAAGTTATTTGAATGTACACCTTGCCAATAATTCAGTATTTAGTTTTTCAGAAAGATGTAAATAAGGTGTTCCTTTTGCCATTGAAGATAGTGATATATAGAATTCAGCTGTGTAGAAAATTTACTTCCCTGTAGCATTGCTAGCCATGAACTCAGGTGCCCCCGAGAAGCCAGAATGGATGGAACCAAAGGCCTTACACTCTTATTTCAGATAGAATATGAGAGACACAGCGCTCTGGCATTTATTTGCACAGGGGTGTTAGGGAAGGGCAGGGTGCATGGATTTGCGGCAACACAGCCATCTGGGGCTTTTAAACACCAATTAGTACAGAATCTAGAGGGAAGGGCTTTACATTATTTTGAAGCTCCCCCAAGGGTTTTAGGGGTGCCAGGTTTGGAAAACACTGAACTAAACCTCAGCAAGTAGTGGTGGCTGACGCCTGAACCTCACAGGAGTTGGTTATGTCTGGCACCGTCTGGTGTTTGCCATTTTGACTGGCGATTGCCCATCTGTAGGAAGAGATGATCACAGCTGCATCGTGTAGTCAGTCTCCTTAAGGAGACTCTTGTGCTGGGAATGGGGGTGAAACAGACTGCGCCCCTACAGGTTAACAGGAGACTGAGCCAACTGTAGAGGTGTTTGTCTTCCACTGTCTGAACCTGAGATAGAGCCCTTCACTGAGGTTCCTGACCCTACCCCCGCCCCCAGCTTTGTTGCTGGAAATAAAGATCAGCCCCAGCTGGAGTTTACTGTTTGCCTTTGTTTTTCTAAATGTTTTGTCTTGTTTTGGTTTTAGTGGAAGCATTTGAAAGAACAATTAAAACGAAGAGATTTGCATTCCTCACTATACCTCCTCTTGCAGATTAATGGCACTTACCAGGGAATATTTCTGTCTATTCTTACCCCTGGTTTTATAAGTCTGTTTTAAATTTTTCATTGCCAGGTGCTTTTTTTCCTCTCCAAAAGGGTTTCCCATTATTTATTCCAGACCCTGTCTGGCAGTCCCACTTTTTTTAATAGGGTGACTCCTGGTTTAGGAGCCTGAGTGTGATTGCTGGGCCTTCCCTTCTGCCTCTTCATGGGGCCTGAGATCCTGGCTCCAAGAGTGAGGTCTCCCTGGGGCTGGCTTCTAAGAGATGATGTCCTACCAAGAATTTGTGGCTTTGATTGGACTGTATTTAACTGGTGGCATATAGAGAAATACAGGTCTTAGTGGCTTCTTTCCTTTTTGATTTTTATAAACTTCACTGATACCTCATTCAGTGCTTCCAAGCGTGGTCCCCAGGTCAGCGCACAGCATCACCTGGGACCTGGTTAGAAACGCACATTCTCAGCCCCATCCCAGACCCTCTGACTTGGACACTGTGCGGGTAGGGCCCAGTGATCTGTTTACATCAGCCCTGTAGGGGATGCTGAGAGCCACTGGTTTGGATGCCTTTGGGAAGTTTCATCCCACACCCCACCCCCACTTAAGGTAACTGCTTATTCCTGGGCCAGGCCTAGGTTTAGTACAGAGGTCACTAAGACTCATTACCTGCCATCTGGGGACCTTCGTCCCCATGTGAGGGCAGCCTGCACAGCCTTGTGGTGGCACTGGTGTTTCAGTGCCCTCTTGGCCATCACTGCGTGAGGCCAGCTCTCCTGACCAGGAGGTGCAGGCTCCCCCGACCCTGGCATCTTCCTCTCAGGGGCTGTTGGGGAGAAGAGGGGGCTCGTGTTTCTGTTCCGTGTTTCTCAGTAATTGTGTGATTTTTAGGCTTCTTCCTTTGGAGATGGTGGTGGTTATAAAACCCTGAAGTCCCTGACTTTAAACTCATATCATAGGTGGAAAGTAATGCCCAAGTTGTTAAGTGGTGGGTCAGTGGCTACATCATGACACGGAGAAGACATCTCCTCAAAACCAGCATGTCCGGCAGCAGCCCATTGGGGTCCCTTCATCATTCTTGTTTGAAGCCTGTGCATTTATGGTGTCTGCCATTGTCGCTTCCCATTTTCTGTGACATTTGTGTGTCCCAGGATTACCGTGGCGTCCAAGCTGTAAGACTGCCTCTGTTTGCCCAGGTCCCATAGAACCCAATGGAAAGTTTGTCCAGGGTGGGAAAATATGTGGGAAAGTTTGTAAAGGGTGGGAAAATATAGGAAGCACGTGTGCAGATGAGGGTTGGCATGTGTTGCTCACTGGTGAGGTCGGGGCATCCCTCTTCCATCCAGCCTGGCCCTGTCCAGGGCTTGTCTCCACAAGGAAAGCAGACAGCAGCTGCTGACAGTTTGCAGCCACACCTCCGGGCCCGGCCTGCCACCCGGAGCCAAACCACATGGGCACTGCTGTTCTTTTCCTTCCATAGTATTTTTGTTTTCCTTCTTTTTTTAGCCACATAGATTTCTAAATCCTGTGGGCAGGTCGCGCTGCTATTTGGAGCACAGAAATAGCAGACATGACTTTTCTTGGAACAGGGATGTGTGTGTGTGTCTGTCTCCACTTCCCCCAAGGAAGCAGGATCTTGCTGTCATCAACTCTTAGAAGCTCAGGACAGGTGATTGTCTGGCACGTGGGGAGGTCTTCATTGTGAAACACCAGATTTCCTGGAAGAGCCATGGGAACGTGAAAATACACACAGGAAACCCGGCTAGGAAGTGCCTGGGGCAGGCTGCATACTTTTGTGAAGAAGGATAGGTGTATAGTGGATTCCGAAAGTGGACATCGCTGCTTAATTCTTGGATGTGTATTTTGCTTCTCTTTGCTGGCATTTCCACATCTCTTCTTATCACAAACAGGCTGCTGGTTCTGTTCATCCCCAGCACCCAGGGCCCTTTCTCACGGGTGGGCCCGTCGTTTTCGTGGCAGGTACTAATTCTGCGTTTTTTTCCGCCTCTGCTTCTGCTGCTCCACAGGTTTCTAAGGTAAACGGAGTCACTCGAATGTCATCTCTGGGTGCAGGTGCAACCAGTGCCAAAAAGATGCGCGAGGTCAGACCTTCACCATCCAAAACTGTGAAGTACACTGCCACGGTGACGAAGGGGGCTGTCACATACACCAAAGCCAAGAGAGAACTGGTCAAGGACACCAAACCCAATCACCACAAGCCCAGTTCCGCTGTCAACCACACAATCTCAGGGAAAACTGAAAGTAGCAATGCAAAAACCCGCAAACAGGTGCTATCCCTCGGGGGGGCGTCCAAGTCCACCGGGCCCGCCGTCAATGGCCTCAAGGTCAGTGGCAGGTTGAACCCAAAGTCATGCACTAAGGAGGTTGGGGGGCGGCAGCTGCGGGAGGGCCTGCAGCTGCGGGAGGGGCTGCGGAACTCCAAGAGGAGACTGGAAGAGGCACACCAGGCGGAGAAGCCACAGTCGCCCCCCAAGAAGATGAAAGGGGCGGCTGGCCCCGCGGAAGGCCCTGGTAAGAAGGCCCCGGCCGAGAAAGGTCTGCTGAACGGACACGTGAAGAAGGAAGTGCCGGAGCGCAGTCTGGAGAGGAATCGGCCGAAGCGGGCCACGGCCGGGAAGAGCACGCCAGGCAGACAAGCACATGGCAAGGCGGACGGCGCCTCCTGTGAAAATCGTTCTACCTCGCAACCGGAGTCCGTGCACAAGCCGCAGGACTCGGGCAAGGCCGAGAAGGGCGGCGGCAAGGCCGGGTGGGCGGCCATGGACGAGATCCCCGTCCTTAGGCCCTCCGCCAAGGAGTTCCACGACCCGCTCATCTACATCGAGTCGGTCCGCGCTCAGGTGGAGAAGTTCGGGATGTGCAGGGTGATCCCCCCTCCAGACTGGCGGCCCGAGTGCAAGCTCAACGATGAGATGCGGTTTGTCACGCAGATTCAGCACATCCACAAGCTGGGCCGGCGCTGGGGCCCCAACGTGCAGCGGCTGGCCTGCATCAAGAAGCACCTCAAATCTCAGGGCATCACCATGGACGAGCTCCCGCTCATAGGTAGGTCTGGGCTAGGGGGTGGGGGAGTGTCCCTGCCTGCCCCAGATCCCTGCAGTTCCCTCACAGTCCCTTCACGTTCTCTTCCCTTGCAGAAGCTCCAGTTCGGCTCCCCTGTCTCGGGAGTAGTGGGCTTCTCAGCTCATTCCCCCTGCAGCCCTTCTTCCCAGGTCCTGGGCGTTGGTGGCAGGACAAGAATGGTATTGAGCTTGGATCTGGGGTGGGCCCCTTGCTTCCCCTGGGCTGTCAACTTCTACCCACAACTGCTGGAGTCAGAGCAGGGGCCAGGGGGTCAGTGGGGAACGCTGCCCCTCTGGATTCTGCTAGACTGCCACTGCAAAGCGCCACTGACTGTTGAACTTACAACAGACATTCCTCACAGTTCTGGAGGCTGGAAGCCCAAGGTCTAGGGGCCGGCAGGGTTGGTTTCTCCCAGGGCCTTCCTCCTTGGCTTGTGGATGGCTGTTTTCTCCCTGTGTCCTCACAGGGTCCTACCTCTGTGTGTGTCTGTGTCTTTGGATTAGGGCCCATCCTACTGACCTCATTCTAACATAATTACCCCTCTGAAGACCCTGTCTCCAAATTCATTCATGTCCTGAGGTACTGGGGGTCAGGGCTTCAACATATGAATTTGGAGGGTGCACCATGCAACCCATAGCCCTCTAGGGTCCTGCAGGACATTTTTTATCCCGCTCAGCCTTCTCTCTTCTTCTTCTTTGTTTTTCCTTGAGCTTCAGTTTCTCTGGCGATGTTGTCAAGGCCACAGGTCAGGGGATCTGTTGACATTTTTTCTGAGACCAGGTGCAGCTCTGGCTGGGGCTGTTGCAAACTTGTAACAGTGGATCCTTAGCGAATGCATATTTGGGCTGTCATGCAGACCCTTGCTCCTCGGGGTGGGCTGCAGGCAGAGACTCCTTGGGATCCCCTGTAGCTCTCCTTCCCTGTCATCCTCTCGAGTCCTGGCACTGGGGACACAGGGCGAGAATGAACTTGCCCTGTTAAGGCTAAGTGGGTTCTGTGCAGTGAGGTGCATCCAGGTAAGGTTGCAACCCCCATTAGTCTAGACCCATGGGAGGAAACAGGCCACACCTCCATTTTGGAGATCCTGAATTTTCAAAGGCATGGAGACATGTAGCCATCATTTAAGTGTCAGGGATTTGGCAGCAAGATAGGCTTCCAGGCAGGATGGAGGTTCAGTGGTTCCCCTCAGCAGGTGCCTGCTAGGGCTGATGCCTGAGTAACAGTCACCTTAACTTGCAGGAGTTGTTGGTTTGTGCTCTGCTGTTGGGAATGGCACGTGACAGGCAGCAGTGCAGGGAGCAGACTTTGCACACGCGTGCACCCACGCCTGCTGACCACGTCCCGTGACTGCTTGGGACACAGTGACTGAGTCAGTGATGGAACCGCACTGAGTCCTCCTGCCTTTGGAGACCTGCAGACAGGAGGGAAACATTCTGAGTTTCCCTACTCTGCTAGGTGGATGATGGAGCCTCGAGAGCACACTTGACATCGTGGCAACAGCCCCTTTTGTTTAGAGTAGGTTTTTCTTTACCCTTGACTCCCGTACCCTGGGACAGAAGCCATGCTGTGCCTCCCTGTGCTGTGCTTGTTGCCGTCTCCCAGAAGTCTAAGGCATCTGACGTTCTGTCCGAGGGGTACTGACTTGCTTACGACCCAGCAAGACCTCAGGGCTGGGAGTCTGAGCTCAGCCATCTAACAGTGGTAGAAACTTAATAACTTTGAAGTAATAGCCTGAAATCCACCCCAGCGGATGTGCCTTCTGCCTCTGTGCAGGTTCACTTCCACCGTAGGCCCCAGGGAGCCGCTGTGCCGCTGGTGGGAGTTGGGTGGGGAAGGGGCTTGGCCGTGTAGCAGCCTCAAGGCCCTGAATGGGAGTGATCACAGTGGGTGAGGATTCCATGAAGAATTCTTGCAAGCGCTGTGTGATTTTCAGGTGCTCTTGTATTATAATCTACTTAGAGTGAAATATGAAAGTATGGATTTTCTCCCTTCTCTGACCTGTGTTCTGAGTCACGCGTACGGTGGAGGACTTGTTCTGGTTGGGGACTGGTTTTGGTACCTACCTCTGTAAATTGAGACCAGGCCCACCTGCCCTGGAGGGAAGAACTCCCGATTGTCAGCCGGAGACCCACCTTGAGTCCCACCTGGGACTCTGGGAGTCTGTGGGACCTGGAGTGAGTTGTGGAGTCTCTGGTCTTAGGTCCCTCCTGTCAAGGCTGGGGACAGTTTCCTCATTGATGTTACCCCCACCCCCCTGTTCTCCACAACCACATCAGCCCACTGTCCTGCCACTTAGTGTGAGTGGAATTCAGGCTCTGTGTCCGCATCCCTGGTCTTGCTGATGTGCCAGGAACTCGCTCTCTTGTGTGTGCTCTGTCTGCCGAGGTGGTTCAGACGCTTCACCTGGTGGGTCCGGCCATGCTTGGTGTGTGCAGGGACCCTGCCGGGACTGGATCCATGCACACTTTGCCTTTTATTACTTAAAAACAATATTACTTAAAAACAACATATCCCCACACTCTAAAGATTTAAAACGTTATTAATTTATACTTTGTTTAGCATTTTGTTGATGATTATTTTGGAAAATCCCTCCCGCCCCCCTTTCTTTATTTGGCCCGACGAAGGTTGCTTTTTCCATTCCCATCTAGAAAAGCCACCGGGCGTGCATTAAAACCTGTCCAGGTTTGATGCGCATTTGCGCTGGTCTGTGACCTGATCAGGAAGGGCACTGAGCACCAGCTTACACGCTGAGAAGCAGCCCACTGTCTGGATGGGCGCGGGATGAGGCTAAGGCACAGATGTACTGCCCTGTGTCCTCACGTGGGTGTTGCTCTTTGCTCTGGAAATCCGGCGGGATTGAAAATAAACTAACTTTGTGTGAGTGGGTGGGTGGGATTTGGGAGTTGGTAGCAAGTATGTGTGAAAGCTATTCCAGGTGACATTGGGCTGTGGGTGCAGCCAGGACCCCTGCCCGCTCCTCACTGGGGAGCTGGTCTTCTCATGACAGCTGCCTCCATGTGAGAAGGCATGCGCCAGTACATGGCACACTGGGATGTTCCTCCCTGTATGTCCGTTTGGCTAGCTCGCTTCCTCTTCAGCCAAGCCCCAGCTTAAATGCTGCCTCCTCAGATGCTCCCCACCTAAAATGGTAGTCCCTTTTTCCACGTGGCCGTAGCATATGGCCGTGACCCATCATTGTGTAACGCCCCCGTCTCTGTAGACTGGAAGCCTGCTGTTCGCCGCTCTCTCCCCAGAGCCTGTCAGAGTCCTGGCTCATAGTAGGAGTTCAAGAATTACAGGTTGAATGAGGAACATCTTGTTCGTGTCCCTTTCACTGACTGTCCCGTTTTATCCCCTTCGCCGTCCCAGGGGGCTGCGAGCTCGACCTGGCCTGCTTTTTCCGGCTGATTAATGAGATGGGCGGAATGCAGCAAGTGACTGACCTCAAAAAATGGAACAAACTAGCAGACATGCTGCGCATCCCCAGAACTGCCCAGGACCGGCTGGCCAAGCTGCAGGAGGCCTACTGCCAGTACCTGCTCTCCTACGACTCCCTGTCCCCCGAGGAGCACCGGCGGCTGGAGAAGGAAGTGCTGATGGAAAAGGAGATCTTGGAGAAGCGCAAGGGACCGCTGGAAGGCCACACAGAGAATGACCACCACAAGTTCCACCCTCTGCCCCGCTTCGAGCCCAAGAATGGGCTCATCCATGGCGTGGCCCCCAGGAACGGCTTCCGCAGCAAGCTCAAGGAGGTGGGCCAGGCCCAGCTGAAGACCGGCCGGCGGCGACTCTTCGCTCAGGAAAAAGAAGTGGTCAAGGAGGAGGAGGAGGACAAAGGCGTCCTCAATGACTTCCACAAGTGCATCTATAAGGTAGGGGCCTCCGTAGAGCAGCCAACCCCAGCTGCAGGAGTGCGGGAGGAGTGAGAGAGGAAGTGGGGCATGCTGTGCACTGGACGGCGCGTTCTCTGACTCCCTGGTGTGATGAAGGAGGGGCGGGCCACTGTGCTGGGTGAGGGTGTTGACTTAGTCCACTTGTGCTGCTGAACTACTACAGACTGGGGAATTTGTAATGAACAGAAATGCATTGGCTCATGGTTGCAGAGCCTGGGAAGTCCAATATCAAGGAACCTAGTGAGGGCCTTCTGGGTGCGTTGATGGAACATTGATGCAAGGTGGGGCAGCAAGAGACCCGGTGAGGGAGGGGAAGTCCACTCCACGAAGACACCACGAGTCTATTCCTGCCCGCCCAGGGCCTCGGGTTTCCTTTTCATTAACTGGCTTGCGTGTGCGTGTTGCGTGCAGGGATATGCCAGGGATAAGTACCTGGGCTGCGTGCTTTGTTTCCCCTGCATCCCCAGTTCTGTCTCATCCTGGTACTTGACAGCTGCCCAAACCCAGCTGAACTTTTCACTGGCTGGACCCTCAGTGGACGCTGCTCGCTTGTTTTCTCTGCCTCCTCATTTCCATCTGCTCACCTCACTGCCAGCCCAGCGTTGCCAGGTCCTCTCTGTGGAGGGCTATCCCTGATAAAGCCATCAAAATGAATCTCACCATTCACACGCTGTGGAGGGAAGAGTTGGGGATAAACCAGCAAACTGAAACGCACAGCGTTTCCCCATCTCCGCCAGGTCTCACTGCAGCACAGTCATCCTGAGGAGACTCACCCCTCCAAGAAGCAAGGGAGGCAGAGTCCGTGGCTCTCCTCTTGGCAGGCCTCCCAGCTGGCCTGGCTCTGAAGCAAGGCTTGGGGCTTCCTCCCTTCTCCAGCCTGCCAGTGGGTAGCGGAGCACCTGGGGCCCAGCTGGCCGAGCCCAGCTAAGTTGCAGTCTCTGCTGAATTGCCTGGCACATGCGTGTCCTCTGCGGTTCCGGTTCTGGATTCACTGGGAGGGAAGTGTTCTCTGCTCCAGCCCTCGTGAGCCTGGTGGGGGCGTGTGGCTAGTGGGTTTCTGCTGCACTGGGAACTGGCTGTTGGTTATCGCTAAGCTCTGCCATACCCTCAGGTGCCCATGACTTCCTGACTGCAGGCTCTGGCCTGGCCTTGTAGTTGAGGCAATGCGGGCTTCTGATTCCATCACACATCTTAAAAATACAGAGGAAGAGTTGACTTGACCCCTGGCGTTGCTGCTTCACTTTAAGTCCAGGCCCTGCAGACCCGCCTCAGGCTGCATCTCATATACTTGCACACTTCTCTGGAAAGAGATACTCAGTTTTTCTGACCTGAGACCCTGAGAGGGTTTGGGTCCCTTTTACCTGAGTGTCCTCTCCCATTGCCTAAGGCTGCCTGGTGGCCATGCGGTGTAGGGGTTGCAGGATGCAGCCTGCCAAGACACAACTGCCTTGTATTTGACTTCATAAATGTTCTTAAGAGAAAGTGTGACCCAGAGACTTTAAGCTCTGGGGAATTTTATTTGGTGTTTCCTGAATGTTTTACTGAGAAGCCTTTATCAGGTAAAGCCACCCACTCCTGTGACTCTGAATAGCCAACTGGTGAAATGAGAAACTGTCAACGTTTTTACTTTTTACTGAGGAAGGCCAATTCTGTGAGCATATGTTTGATCTGAAAAAGAGGTTTGGATTTTTAAAAACTCACCCTGTCAAGGATATTTCTAGATTTCATCACGGAAATGTACTGGAGCGCTGCGTGGTGGCCATGGCGACGCCCCCAGGCAGCCATGTGCCCACGGGGTGGGGACCCTGCTTGCGCAACTCTCTGTGGCACTGGTGTCCTGGCTGCTGACTTTTGTGTGCTGGTGTCATCCTCACCTTCGCTCATTGCACTCTGCCTTGGTGCAAAATTCAGTCCCTCCTTGTAGTTACCTTTTTTATGTTACAAGAAGCAAACCATTGGGAGCGGCTTAGAATTTGCATGGAAGTATGTTCCTGTAGTTAGAACCCCATCTAGTTCCTTTGCTGTGGGAGAGAAAGGCACAAGCCAGTGTCTCCATACCGACTGCGACTGTGGACCTGACGGCACAAAGCACCTGCTGCTCCCTGTTCTGGCCCTGTCACTTCTACAGGAACGCTGCAGTGTCCAGTGCCCTGCGGGGAAGCCTTCCCTGACCACCCTCCCTCACTCCACATGACACCTGGCGACACCTCCCATCGCATATTTGTGTGGTTGAGGCCTGTGTGTTCCCCAGACTGAATGGAAGCTCCATGAGGCCCAGAGGTGTTGTGTGTTTTTCAGGCACTGCTTTGTCTCCAGCCCCTAGGATTTGGCGTAGTACACAGTAGGTGCTCAGGAGATACTTCTGGACTCAAGTAATAAATTTTCCCGGTCAAGAAAGAAACCATAGCAAGGGTCTTAAGACGGCTTCCCTCTGAAAAACGCACTACATTTGGTGTGGTGGGTAAAAGAAGGTGCTGACTTCGGATTCCCAGACTGACACACTGAGCTATTTTATCAAAACAAGCAAATCATTCTGGATGTTATTGGGAACAGGGGCATCGAAGAAGAGGTGCGGAGGGGACAGCAGGTGGTTCTGTGGAAAGAAGGCGACCAGGTTGTAACTTCAGTGAAGGCTGCTGCCCTGGCAGGTGTTCACATGGCACGGACTCTCAGGGTGTAGATGTCACCCCAGTTTCTGTCTCTCCAGCTTCTCTCCTGTGGGATCCCTGGTCATGAGTTCCATCAGGTCACAGCTGCTGATAGCTTCCTCACTGGCCTGCAGCAGCCTTTGTCAGCTGAGGGATTCTGCCTCCAGCGCAAGCGGCTTTTTCAGCAGGGCCTTGGAGGGGCCTTCCATGTTTCCGCTCTGCGTCTGCTCGGGGCCTCTGGGTGGCAGCCTCTGTTCCTGGCAGAACAATTTGGCCCTCATGAGGGTGATCCTTGGTGGAGTCTTCCCGCTCCTCTTAGCACTGTGGGTTCTTAGAGAATTTCTGCCTTCTCTGCCTGTCATTAACTCAGGATACAAGGTGACCCACAGCCTCAGGGACGCCAAGGGGCAGCGGCCCATGACAGGTGTGTGGCCTCATTTGCAGTAGGGCTCAGCTTTGCTTCTGAAGCTTTACTCTTTTTTTGTTTTGTTTCAGGGAAGGTCTGTTTCTCTAACAACTTTTTATCGAACAGCGAGGAATATCATGAGCATGTGTTTCAGCAAGGAGCCTGCACCAGCCGAAATCGAGGTGAGAGAAGCGGCCCCTCCCGTTGCTTCTCATGATGTGGGAACCACTCGGCGAGCTGGAGGACATCCTTGTCCTGCCCTGACCCCTGCAGCCCGGTGAACTGAAAGGACTCAGACGGGGCTGAGTTCATCCTCTGTGTTGAGCGTGCACCAGGGCAGCCAAATGTTTTAACTTAGGTTGATCTAAACTTGTTCACAAGCCAAAAACACTATAATGAAGGTGGGGAGTTGCTGAGTGCAGGGGGTGGGTTCTGGGCACGTCCCCTGCTCCCCGTCACCATCTCCTCCTACTTGCTCACCCAGCTGCTTCTCACCCCATCCTCTGTGTGTCTGTTATGCAAGAGAATGTTTGGAATCCCTTGAAACCACAGTTGTGCTTTTTCTTCCCTTCTATTTTTTATTTAATGGGATTGGCAGATTGCCATTTTTGTGCTTCTGCCAACTCTCTTCTTTGAGTTAGTATGAGGTTGGAAAGACAGTGAGCACTTCTGTGCCCAGACCAATTAGGGGGAGTTTTTGTGTGCGGCGCTGCAGGACAGAGACCGGATCTGTTTATTTACCTCCCCTCGGCCAGTGCCCAGCTGAGTCCGTGTGAACTTCCAGCCGCTGACGTCGGTGGGCTCTCAGCAGCGCTTGGTCGTGGAAAGGGAAAGAAACCAAACCCGGATTACTGGTTCAGGGCAGCTGCCGACCGGGGAACAGGAGGTATTTGTTGACCACAGCCTTATCTTTTGGTGTGTGACAGGCTTTTGCTGCCGTTTTGTTTTTTTTTTCCTTTAATGCCACCTCTTTCAAATAAAATCCAGAGTCGGTTTGCCCCATGTATACATGCTGACCACTGGGGGTTCAGGTATCTTGTTTTGCCTAGGTTTTGGACATGTGACCTTCAAACCTGCTCAGACCAGGATGGCTGGTCACCCTCCCTGGGTGGTGCTTGCTGCCCCACCTCCTGAAAGCAATTGTCAGAGCTTAGGATGTCCAGCCCTGTGGCCTGACCCTGCTTTCCTAGTGTGAGGAATTAGAGGTTTACCTTTAGCACCATCTTTATCTGTCTTAGGACTTAGGTCTCTACTTAGGTGCGGGAGCTGCCTACGCTGTGTACCCTGGGTGCGGCCACTGAACGTCACGCAGTGGCCTGACACTCGACCTGTGGCTGTGATTACTATGCTGCAGCCGCCACTGCCTCACCCATCACCAGCCACGATGTCAGCTGAACCCTGGTCTAGGACACGTGTGGCTGCCGCAGCTGCTTCCACAGCACGCGTTGTGTTTGTGGTAGAGATGTCAGGTGGAGGAAACTTGGCTTTCTGGGGCTGAGCATTGGACCTGGGAAGAGGCCTTTGTTGCCAAACAACACGTGTCCTGTGGGCATCTCCCCAGAGGTGCAGAAGTTTATTGCTATCCGTAATGTGCATGAAAGCTTAGCTCATCTTACAGCCTTTTATTCAGGAATTAATTCCCTCTGAAAGTCTGGATTTTGCTCTAGCGGTTGTGTAAATATTTAAACACAAAGGAGAGATTCGCTGAAATTTAAACTTCAGGCCTGGATTGCCTAGTTTCTTGTGCTCTGTCTTCCAAAAAAGGCCAGTGTGGACAGCCCCTGGGGTTGGCCACCAGCGGGGAGGAGTCCCTTCCTTCCCTTCGCACATCTTTACAGACTCACCAGAAGCTGGTCGCCCTCAGTTTCAGCAAATGCATGGCAGGATTGGACACTCAGGGAGTCTGTTGAGGGAATCCAGTCGTTTAATGTGGAATTCGTTCTTGATTTGTGGAGGTCTGACTCCGCCAGGTGGACCCCTTCTTTGTGGAAGTCAACGCAGTGTTGAGGAAAGTGGTTTCGGCGTTGCTAGTAGCACTTCGTTGAGCTTAACTGGACCCTATGATGTTGGGTGCTTGTAAGTTAGGCGTCTTCCCTAAATGTGGTTCCAGCTTTACTGAGGTTTGTGAGATGAGGAAAGAGGACTTAGTGCTTCTGGAGTGATCACTGAGAACAAAGTGGAAGGTGACTGCGCGGGGAAGCTTGTCTCAAGGGAGCCTGGGCACCGCTGCTTGCCTGCAGCCAAAGCATGTTCTGACCCATTCTTTGTCCCCATATTTGTTTAGATGGAACATAAGTCACTTTGGAAGCTTTTTGTAATTGGCAGTTACTGTGCTTAGCATAATGTCCTCCAGGTTCATCCATGTTGTAGCACGCGTGAGAACTGACGTCCTTTTACAAGGTCATGGTATGGAGTAGATTTTGTTCATCCATCTGCGGATGGGATACTGTGGTGGCTTCACCTTTTGGCTGTTGGGAATAACACTGCATAACATGGGTGAGACTCTGCTTTCTGGCATTTGGAGGATATGCTTGGAGGTGACCTGTCATTGCTTTCTGCGTTAGTGTCCTGCTGGAGACACTCTGCAAAGAGAGCGTCTGTTCTGAGGGGCGTGTGCACCAGACATTCGTGTCCCAGTTTTGTTGGGTTGAACTGTGCTCTGTGGCTGCAGCACCTTAGGGGTGCTGACCAGCCCTTTCCTGTTCCCTGCAGCAAGAGTACTGGAGGCTAGTGGAAGAGAAGGACTGCCATGTGGCAGTGCACTGTGGCAAGGTGGACACCAACACTCATGGCAGCGGATTCCCAGTGGGAAAATCGGAGCCCTTTTCAAGGTAACCTGGGATTCTCTTGTCCATGTTCTTGGGGATGTGACTGCATCCTTCCCCGCCAGTCTGTAACATCCCTCGTCTTCCCCTTTGCAGGCATGGATGGAACCTCACCGTCCTCCCCAATAACACAGGGTCCATCCTGCGTCACCTCGGTGCTGTGCCTGGTAAGTCTGACTGTGGCCACCTGCCTGTGGCAGCTGTGACCATGAGTCCTACTCACTGAGAATCAGGGCTGGGAAATCCCTTCTAAGCACTGCCAGGGAGGGATGGGGTCTTCAGGCATACAGGACATACATTGAAAATTGATTTTTAGGCTGGGCGCGGTGGCTCAAGCCTGTAATCCCAGCACTTTGGGAGGCCAAGATGGGCGGATCACGAGGTCAGGAGATCAAGACCATCCTGGCTAACACGGTGAAACCCCGTCTCTACTAAAAAATACAAAAAACTAGCCGGGCGAGGTGGCGGGCGCCTGTAGTCCCAGCTACTTGGGAGGCTGAGGCAGCAGAATGGCGTAAACCCGGGAGGCGGAGCTTGCAGTGAGCTGAGATCCGGCCACTGCACTCCAGCCTGGGCGACAAAGTGAGACTCCGTCTCAACAACAACAACAAAAAAAAATAGATTTTTAGAAATGAAAAGAGTAGCATGATGGTTGGTGAATTCAGTAGAAAAGGTGGAAAGGTGAACCACATGGCCGAGTCTAGAGCTGGGAGAAGCTTAGTGGCCAACTTTGAACTTTGAAATAGCTGCTTTCAAAGCCAAAGTCACAATTCCTAAAGGCTGAAATCATAATTCTCAAGATGGTCAGTAGGCTCGCAAGAGATGGATGGATGCTTTGCAAGCTTTAGGGAAAACCAGGGGGTCATGGAGGTTGTGGTCACTATGAATGTGAAGGCCCAGGCCTTGGGGAAGGCGGTTAGGAACCTGTCCAGGTCTTGGAACCTGACTCATTTCTGAGCTGAGCCAAGGAGCCCTGTGCCCTACTCACCCTGCTCAGAGGCCTCGCCAGCAAAGGGGCTTTCTTGCTTTCTGCCTCTGGCCCTGATGGGGGCTTTTGGGTTTGGTGCCTCTGGTCCTCAGCCTTGGGGCTTGGGGCTGCTGGTTCCTCGGCATTCCTCACCAGGTCAGGTTCCTGTGGCCACCTCCTCATGAGGCCGACGTGCTGCTACTGTTTTGAAACAGTGTTCATATTCTCCCACTTCTGTAAAGGAAGCAGGAAAGAGCAGGTACCTTCTGCTCACTGTCTTTTGTCTGACTTTGAGTCCCATTTCTTTTCCTTCTTGTTTTAGGAGAAGAAAGAGAATTTTACTTACTGTTCCTTTGAGACGTTGTTGCGTAGCTTTTAAAAACGCGCTTTTCACTCTTGCTGTTTTAGGAGTGACTATTCCCTGGCTAAATATTGGCATGGTCTTTTCTACCTCATGCTGGTCTCGAGACCAAAATCACCTTCCATACATTGACTACTTACACACTGGTGCTGACTGCATTTGGTGAGTACGCGGCCGCGGGTGGGAGGGGAGGGACTGCAGAAAGTCATATTACCACATTAAGTGGGGCCTGCGGGTAACCTCTTGTCCAGGTGGTTCCACATGCTTGAGAACTTGCTTCTCTGTGTTCAGGCCTGTCCTGCGTTCCCTGCCGAGGCCTTGGGCTGGGATCGCTTCCATCTGTTGGAAGGTGCTGGAGAGTTGGGGTGCTGGAGAATGTTGTAACACTCTCTGATGATGTGCAAAACTTTTCATATGCTTAGTGGCCATTTAAGTTCCCTTTTCTGAATTACCTGTTTAGGTGTGTTTTTGTTTGTTTGTTTTGTTTTGTTATGGATTAGTCACTTTTTCTTGTGGATTTCCAAGAGTTATTTTCACCTTAGGGTTAAGGAACAGTAGTAAAAGTGCCTCACAAAGTTAACCAGTAGTAGTGACTGTGTCATCAGCCCTCTATGAACTGAATATGAACCGTGGCATTTCATGATTGGTTGTTTTCAGCCTCTCTGTAGAGCCAGTGTTTCCTCATCTATCGGTGGCTCTGCGGGGAGTAGAGTTGACTTGGGACTCTCGTTCCTGCCATGTGGAGACGCGCACGTTGTGTACCCCGCGGAGTCTGTTGCCTGGCGAGGTGTTTTGGGTCCCCACCTGTAATCCTGACTCTCACTGTACCCATCCCTGATCGCGGCTGGACTCTTGGGTGTCTTTGTTTATGGCGGCAGATGGGAAATGACTAGAAATAATCAGATGTCTTGTCGTCTGATCGTTTACCGGCATGCCGTCCATGCCATGCTAACTGTGTTTATTGCCCTAATGGGGTGATTAAGCATTCTTTATTAAAATAAACAAAGTCTTAGGACTCATGTTCTCCCTCCGTGGAGCCAGCGTCGGCTGCAGCCGCCTGGTTTTGGCTTTTCTGGTGAGTGGTGCCGTCGACACGAGGGAGCCCTCCCTTCCCATGTGGGTCTGTGCGCCGTGGACAGCGCCTTGGGGCTGAGCCAGGCCCGGCCACAGCTGGGGAGGGGACAGCCAGGACAATCCCGAGAGGTGCCTTTGCCTCCGGAAGAAGTGTGGCCTGTGGGGAGTTACACTGGCTGTGGCTGTGCATGGGCTGCTGTTCCTGGGGTCGCCCCCAGACCAGTGACCTGAGGCCCGAGTTTCTTCCGTGTGGGTTTGCTTATGGCTTGACGTTGAGTCACAGATAGCACAATGTGATGTCCTGTGTGGGCTTTTGAAGTCTTACCCCTGGAACCTCATTGAGGGAGAGAAAGAAAAGGCAGGGGTAGGATCAGAGGACATGATGGTGTGTAGTTTTTCTTAAAACGTGTGATTTAGGTTAGAAACCCTGTATGTAAATTACCAATCAGTAACAGAATATGTTGGCATTGAAAATAACATGAGCGTTTAAAAAAAATTCTTAAATGTGGCTGTTGCCTTCACTGAGCAACTGAACCCAGGATTTGGCCTCAGAGAGAAACGTTTTCGTCAGAGACACTTAGGGGCCGCAGTCGCTGCCTGCTGTGCAAAGGCGGGCCCTGGACCTGGGGGGCGGGGGCTGTTGGGAGGGGCTGGCGGTGTTGCCCTGAGCTGCTGGCTCACGTCTTTGTTTTTAGTGGTGGCTGATAGCTTCACTGGTTTAGCATCCTGAAGATCTGTCCGGCCCCTCTCCACACTGATGTCCTCCTCTTGCCCGGGGAGGAGCCCCTCAGACAGCCTGAGACGCCCAGGGGCAGGGCAGCCATCCCTGCACCCCTGCCCTGCAGGGGCCTCCCCTCACATGCCCGTCATTCATGCTGTGCGCCTGGCACCAGGGGCATCACATGTTGTGAGTGGACGTGTGGCCCTGGTGGGCTCCTTGGGACACCGAAGACACGGGCAAAACCCCCTCCCCTCCCTGTGATTGCCGTGAGGAGGCTGCGTAGGTCACTTTCTACCTGTACCTCCCACCTTTTCTCACACTCGAGGACCCCTGCCAGCCTCACGCTTAGACCCTGGAGGGTCTGGGAGCCACCACTTCCCCAGGCCACCCTCTGACGCAGTCCTGTGTGCCCTGATCCTCCTGTGTGGGCTGGGTCCTGACACAGAACTCCCCAACGGGGAGCAGAGCTGGGGGCCGCTAGGTATTCCCGGAGCCCCACTTCGCCAGTGTCTGCCAAGGAGTTGGCCTTGAGGTGGTGCATGTGCCTGAGCCTGGCTTTTCCCCAACTCTGTGCATTTGTAGAGGGCAGGGTTTACTGTCCTGGCTGTAGGGCTGAAGGAGCCACATATTCCTTGTCAGGACATTGTCATGTCCTGCTCCTGCGGTGGTCTCTGTTAACAGAAGAAGGGTGCAGTGCCGGAGCCTCAGAAGAGGCCCGTGGAGGCTGCAGTGTGTCTGGTTCTGGTTTATAGGGGTTTGTGAACATCTGTTTCTGGTTTGAAGGCTTTTTGGCTCACCAGGTGGGTCAGATCTGCGGAAAAGATGAGCACCTTGCATCGCGGTGCGCTGCGGTTTGGCTGTGTGCTAGGTGGACGTGGCACTGCTGCCGTGCGAAATAGGAGCCAGTGGTGACCAGGCACCCGGCCAGGCCAGCGCACTGTCCCTGCTGGCGTGGAGCAGAGCCTCTCCCGTGTGCTCGGGTCCCTGAGGGTGACGGGGGTGGCCCAGTACATGCAGGAGGCCCTTGTCAAGTCTCTGCTTGTCTGTTGTGTCTCTCAATGACCCAGGTATTGCATTCCTGCTGAGGAGGAGAACAAGCTGGAAGACGTGGTCCACACCCTGCTGCAAGCCAATGGCACCCCAGGGCTGCAGATGCTGGAAAGCAACGTCATGGTGCGTCCACTCAGCCGCCGCCTCCAGCAGGAACTGTAGGACCTCCTAGGCACTTGAACATGGTTTCCCATGAACCTGCTTTTCAAAGGCAATGAGAACACAGCAAAACAAATCCCCAGGGTGCAAAGGGAAAGGTCCTCAGACACAAAAGCCAAACTGACCATCCATCAGATTGCACAGGGCGCTGGGGTTTTGCACGGCCTTTGCATCTGTTTTGGGGCTTGTTCATGTTGAGGGCTGCTGTGGACTCTGGGTTTTCTTGTGCCCACTGCTCCTACCTTCTGGGCACATGAGAGGAATGAGCACAAAGGCTTCTTCACTTGTTTTCAGGAAGTCATGGGGCTGGTGAGCTCCTGGGAGGTGCTGCTTTGGGCTGTGTTCTGACCAGCTTCTCTGGCCTCTGCTGACCCTGCTGGTCCAGCCTGTCCATCTTAGAGAAGAGATGGACGGGGGACTCCTTTGTAAGCGCAGCCTGTGGGCCTGTGGCCTACTTGGCTCTGGAGATGAGCCCGGCAGCCTTCTGGTTGTGTAACCTTGTCCCGTTTCCAGCCCCTGGCATTGCCAGGTGGGGACAGAGGGGCCTGTGTGGTCATCATATCCTCAGCTGTGCATGAACCTGTCATCACTCTGGGGCCAGTGCAATTTAGAACTTCTTCTTGTGTTATGAATGACATCTTTTTATTTTCCACATAAAGCAATCTTGTCTCCTTGAGAGCAGGCCTCTTAGGGTGCGCATGCCTCACCTGAAGACTGCAGGTGTCCCGGCACACAGGGAGGGGGTGTGCCTCAGCCTGGCCCTGTCTCCCCAGATCTCCCCGGAGGTGCTGTGCAAAGAGGGGATCAAGGTGCACAGGACCGTGCAGCAGAGTGGCCAGTTTGTCGTCTGCTTCCCGGGATCCTTTGTGTCCAAAGTGTGCTGTGGGTACAGCGTGTCTGAAACCGTGCACTTTGCTACCACCCAGTGGACAAGTATGGGCTTTGAGACCGCCAAGGTAAGCAGAGCCAGCCTCCTCCCGCTGGCTGCCCCCGCATCCATGTGAGCGCCGTGCGTGATTGCACACAGAAGCAGCCCTGCATGTGCGTGTCTATCTGTAGATAGTTCCTTTTGGAATATGTCTTTGAAATTCTTAGGAGGTGGTTGAAAGGTCTTCTAGGAGTGAAAAGTTAGGGATTTGTTTGTATCACAAAGAGTTTTGATCAGACCGTTACTGACAGGACCCCTCCAGTATTGGAAAACTACTGAAGATACTTAAGATAATTGCTTAGAATGAATGGACAGAGAACCTCCACCCATCGTGAGGTGGTGGCAGCTGCCTCTGGGTAGTGGCGAAGTGCTGTGACTTCTCCTGGTATGTGGTGCCTTTCTCACAGGGAGGCAAAGTTTTGAAGAGTTTTTAATCCAAATGCAATTCAAGATTTAGAAATTCGGACAGCCGGCCTGCCCCTCCACCAAGAAGAACCTTGACAGCTGCCTAGTCATGAAAATCCACGCTAAAGGGATGTGACTCCTCTTTCAGGAAATGAAGCGTCGCCATATAGCTAAGCCATTCTCCATGGAGAAGTTACTCTACCAGATTGCACAAGCAGAAGCAAAGAAAGAAAACGGGCCCACTCTCAGTACCATCTCAGCCCTTCTGGACGAGCTCAGGTAACGGACTCAGGGTTCTGGGAGACCCCCAGGGCCCACGTCAGAGAGCTTGACCTGGCTGCCCTTCGGGGGCTTAGCCGGGTAGACGCCCGGGGGGAGCAGACGCGCTCACTGCCTTCAGTCGCAGAGCCGCCTTTGCACTGCACGGCCCCATGTGGATGCTTTTCCAGATGGGGCAGCAGGGCACTTCCAGGGTGTGGCTGGTTTTTATTTTACACGCTGGTTTTTATTTAGATAAATAATTTCTCCCTTGATGTTTGGACTGTCTCGAACCTCTAGCAACCCGAAGAGTTTGCCTTCCTCTCTGGTGGGATTTGACTTGTCAAGGGGCTCCGACCCCTGACTACGGCTACTGTGCTGACCCACTTGCGTCAGAGCCGTGGCTCTCGCAACATGTTTAGGGTGAATGGCGTGGATAGCTTGCCGCCCAGGTCCCTCAATCCTCATTTTTCTTGCAACCCCCCTTTTGTTGTGTCGGTGCTGCCTGTGTTGTGGTGTGCTGTGTGGTTGGTTTGTCTTGTGTGTGTGGTTGCGTGTGTGTGTGTGTGGGGTGTTTGTGTGGGTGGGTTGTTGCTGGGGGGTTGTGTGTGGGGTGTGCGTGTGGTGTGGGGTGTGTGTGGGGGGGCGTGGGGTGTGGGTGTCGTGTGTGGTGTGTGTGTGTGGTGTGTGTGTGTGTGTGGTGTGTAGGGGGTGTGTGGTGTGCGTATGTGTGTGTGGTGTGTGTGGTGTGCGTGTGGTGTGCGTATGTGTGGCGTGTGTGTGTGTGGTGGGGGGGTGTGTGGGGTGTGTGTGTGGTGTGCGTGTGTGTGGTGTGTGTGTGGTGTGCGTATGTGTGGTGTGTGTGGGGGGTGTGTGTGTAGTGTGCGTATGTGTGGTGTGTGTGTGTGGTGTGTGGTGTGTGGTGTGTGTGTGGTGTG